AATTATTTAGTAAATTTATTTTTTTAAAACTATTTAATGCAAACCAAAAAATAAGTGTTCTTAATGACCCGATGAGTACACCTTCTCCTTTATTTTATTTTAATAATATAAAATAAATTTATTTTAAACCAATAATACATTTTATTGAAAATGATATGGTTTTACTTAAATAGCTATCAAACCGCACAAAACAATTATTGAGATTTTAGTAGAAAAAAACTCATACAAAACTCCTGCACCCGACTCGCGGCCTCAGCGCCTGACTTGATCACTGTTTACTTGTTTTATTTTAAGTATGATGTGGCCGAAGACCGATTATTGCGAATCACCAAAAAAATCATGTGCTCCGAGGACCAAACCTCTTACACAGCAAGCAATTCCACGACCCCAAGGTAGTAGGTAGACACCTACGTTTTTATTTGGTAAAATCTTAAGTTTAAACCCTGCGTTAAGCCTCCGAGTTAATTTCAATTTTTGATTAAGTTTTTAAAACTTTATTAAAATAAATAAGTTAAAAAGTTAACAATTTAAATAATTTAACTTTTCCTTTTTATATTAGACTTAATCTGTTTGTCCTTATTGATATGTTATCATTTATGTGACAAGTATTACCTTTGTCTACATAAATAAAACATAAATAGGACATTAAGTCTATTATAAGGAAGAGAGTTAAATTGCTTAAATTGATAAATTTAAAAACTTATTTATTTTAATAAAAATTTAAATACTTAATTACGAATTTGAAGTAAATTCGAAAGCCTAACGCGGGATTTTGCCTTTTTATTTTCCTTCTTCAGTTTCATTCTTTTTCGTTTTAAGAAATTCAACGAAACTCTCTAATATGGCTTGAGGCTGGTCACTTTTCATGAGGTGCTGCGCTACTTCCGCCGGAGTAACGGATGCATCTTCAAGAAGATTTTCAATGGTGGCAAACAGGCAGTGATCATTAATTCCCAAGTATGCGTCTGCAAGCTTTCTGAATCCTGCTGGAGTGCAGTAACCCATGTAGACGTGAACATCCATCCGTCCCGGTCGTAATAGAGCCGGATCCAACTTCTCTTTGTGATTCGTCGTGAAGATGATGATCCTTTCGTCTCCGCAGCTCGACCACAACCCATCAATGAAATTAAGCAACCCTGATAATGTTACCTGAACAAAAAAAATTTTAAATTAAGCATCCCTGGATTTGAGAGTTGTAAAAAATAGTTTTTCCCTACTCGAAAGTAAATTAGTTACCCCGGGATCAGATGAAGAAAGCTTATGGGTTTGCTCGTCTTCGCTATCTTCTTCTTGTTCATCTTTAATCCTTGTACGATCTCGGGATGCTTTTGTGCTGCAATCTATGTCTTCAACAAGTAGAATGGATCGGTTTGTGGTTGAGGTAAGTATACGTCTCAAGTCGGCATCACTTCGAGCACTTTGAAGCTGAAGATCGTATATATTGTATCTCAAGTAATTGGCTATGGCCGCAACCAAAGAGGATTTTCCAGTTCCTGGTGGACCATACAAAAGGTATCCACGTTTCCATGCTCTTCCTACTCCTTGGAAGAAGTCCCTTCGTTCGACAAAGGCGTTGAGATCTTTGATAATTTCCTGCTTGAGCTTTGGCTCCATTGCAAGAGTATCGAATGTTGCAGGATGCTTGAAAACTGTGGAGTCCCAAATACCTGCTTCTTGATCATAGGTATTGATGTAGAGGTTTTCGCGCTTGCTTATGATGGTTTTCGCAATATCGGCAATGTAAGTAAAGTAGCTTTTCATGATTCTCTCTCGGTCACTCTTCTTGCACTTTAGCCGGAAGTACCTCCTCTCCCGGTGGAAGTACTTCTTGGCTTCTGTAGAACGCAGAGACCACTCCAATTCCATACCCTCGAACTTATCAATAATCTTGCAATCAACCGGTATGCTCTGCTCCAGATTGTGAGGGTCATTGGATCCAATGAGGAGACTATCAGTAGCGGGGCCAACTCTGGTAGGCAAGTAGGCTTCCACGGCACGAAATGTTTCGTTATCCACTGCCTGCCATCGTTCCTCAATGATGAAGGTAAAGTTAGGGGAGAAGTAACGGGAGAATGAGTCAGATAATATAGAGAACATGTAGTCCTGTACTCGTTTGGGAACCATCTCACACAAGATTGTGCGGATTAGGATGATGGTGGCCGAAAGGGAGGCATAGAAAGAGAGGAGGGCAGACAAGGAAGGGAG